CATTGAACCATTGAAAGAAAAGGAAACCATGTTAATTAAACAGATTTTTTGAAAATATTAAAACACAATCACAAATCGAGCTAGCGAAAACACATCTTTGTGAGAATATAATGTACACATTTCACCACAGTTTATTGTGACTAGACATCATAAAAAAATATTATTATGATTTTTTAATGCTTATTGGTAACAACTATTGACTGTTTTACTTTTCTTTTCAGTCTGATCGTACTACCTCATTCATTGTTGTATGTTGAGAAACGTACAGAAAAAATTCTACGGAACAAAATATGTGCATATTCTGAGATGTGTGTGTAAAGTGATCAGTTTTTCCAGGTCAAAGTAACCTACTTCCCTCCCCACCCCATAACAGCAACAAGTAAATTTATTGATTTGTCAACAGGAACTTCGTACTAAGACTACATCGTGAAAGAAGCACCGGCTATTCAACATCGAACTCTTTTTTTATGAATATTGAATTTCGAAGGTGATCCGGCTATTGAACTATTGAATAAAAACATATTTCAAAATCCCTAAATGGTAAAACTTTCTATTCAACCACAGTTCGCGTTTTTGTCTCAAGCCTAACTAGCATTCATGAATGTATTAAAGACTGTGTTGTTTATCGCTGAAATCACCAAATGCGAATGGGTGAATTTGCGTAAAATCCCTAGATTGATCAGAGTTAGACATCGTTGGATGCCGTCTCACTGGTCCAGAGGTTAGGAGTTCGTGTGCAATACCGGAGGTCCTGGGTTCGAATCCTGCGATTCGCAGGAGTCGTGGATGCGCACTGCTTATAAGTCCCATACCAGCACGAAACGGCCTTCTTTGAGCGATTCTATATTTCTAGTGGTTGCCTAACAATGACTGAACTCCGTCTGTAGACCCTTCAGGGCTACTGCCGGTCCAAAGCCCGGATAAAGGAGGAAGGTTGGGCTCTAACAAGAAAAAATGATTTGCACCATTTAAACTCTGCTCTAGGAGTTAGAAGGTCTTAATGTAGAAGAATTATGACGTCTCATGATGAAAGACGAGTTCCTTTGGAATTCGTGAGGTCGATGCTTCTGCTGACAACCAGAGCCCATCCACGGTGTGGGCAGCCGTAAAAGCACATGAGATCGAATTGGTTACAACCAAATCCTTTCTAAACTTCCTAATAACTCTCTTATCTCCTCGACCAACCTTTCCTTCGATCGTTTGTCACCTCGCGCCATTGAAGCAAACGGTTTGAGCTCACGAAACATTATTCCTCGTCTCCTGAAACCCCGTACTAAACAACATATTGGAGCTTTTATTGTTTGCTGGTTGGGGCCAGCGAGATGATAGTAATCGATGTTTAGAGACCCTTCATGACATGGCTCAAAATCGTTTGCAATGGCGCCGGTGCATTCATTCTTCATGTTCTTTCAAATCCTTACCTTCAGAGTTCCTCATCACCTCTATCTTTTTCTTTTTAAGTTAATTTCACTTGACTTTACTTCTTCTTTGAACCCTAATCTATCCGATTACTGCTAATACACCTTTACTATCCCTACTACTATAGGATTTGAATTGACAATTACATCTCTTTGTGCTAATGTGAAATGGCAACATGAACTGATGTACGTACGTACGTATGTACGAAGTTCTACATGGCAACTGACTGACTAACAATGACTGATTGACGATTTCACTGTGCTACACTCAACTAATAGAACTATTTACTCATATCACAGGAATTTACTAGTAATAAACATGATTGATGCCAAAGTCTAGAAACTTGTTGCTTTTTTTTAGGAAAAAATACCATAAATACACATACGAGAAACTTCCCTACGATTGATTAATCAATTAACACGGTAATATTTAGAGTAGGAAAAATACAAACTACAACATATAAAGTAACATTTCTCTTTAGATAAAATCTATCAACATATTAAAATAATTTTTTTTACTATTCACAACTATTGACAGACAAATATGTGATGTCTAATTCAATCAATGTTCAACAGACAGAAATCAAGGAAAACACCACAATAAATGAAGAGAGGCAAATCAACGCTTTCATATCAGTGCTGTTTCGAATTAACCTTTCTGTCTTATTCTCTGTGTGTGTATGTGTGGCTCTCTCCCTATCTCAACTTCATTTCCCACTAACAATAATTCAGACAAGATGTTCTGTAGTTAGTTAGTTAGTTATCAGTCTGTGAATCTACATAACTTTAACATCTTTGATTGTTAAAATTGTTACTACTATTACTACTAGTAGTAACAATAATAATAATATTAACAAGCAGTTTTATTATTATTATTGTTATTATTATTTTTATGATTAGTTTAATGATACCATCATGTTTTGATTTTATGTTTTCAATTAAAAATAACATTCACACTGTCAGAACATGTCTCTCTCTCTCTCTCTTATCAATAAAAAATGATCATAACAGAAAAGTGAAAATACCAATGACACTAGCAATCATACAAATATTCATGAATACGGACTGTTTACTAATCATTAACATCATTAATTTTCTCTGTGTGTGTGTGTGTACTAGCTGTAATATTGATTATTCTATTGATGTGTGTATCGATCGATTGGGAAGAATAATGATTCGGTATGGAATGCGTTGACAATCGGAAGAATGACACTAGACAATGTACCACCTATTTATTGATACTGAGTTAATTTAACATAGTACTTACTCAAACTAACAGACAGATATGAAAAGGTTATCATTTTATTGCAATCAGGAATCGACCAATATTAATTAGACCGCCATTACAAAAACTTGGAGGCACTGAAAGACGACTGTCGTATCCTTGTATGTGATTCATCAACAATGCACATCGATGACGCTAGCACGCTGGAATCGAAGTCGGCACCTTTGTGAACGCTTAATATCTAGAGCACTGAATCAATATCCAACGGTGTTAATGTCTAGTCTCAATCAATCCACGGTCCAGTGCTCCTAGGTTCCCTATGATGGTCTAACATTGTTCGATTCATGATTTAAATGCAACCCTATGATGAAGATTGTAATTTAATTATACATGTAAATTTTACATTTTAACAAATATAGAAAAGCCAAGAAAGGAAACTGAGTGAATTTCATCAAACATACCTATTTGGTAAATGATACATTTATGTATTAAAAACAAGAACTCAAGATAGTATAAGTTGTTATTTGTACTTTCAATGAATCAATCAACCAATAGCAACGTAAAACTTCGTACGTAAGTACATCGTCAGTTCATGTTGCCATACCACAATATTAGCACAGAGATGTAATTGTCAATTCAAATCCTATAGTAGTAGAGGTAGTAGTAAAGATGTATTAGCAGTAGTTGGAGAGATTGGGATTAGAAGATATTATTCAAGAAGTAGAATCGAGTGAAATAGACTCAAAAAGATAAAAATAATGTGATGAAGAATTAAAAAGTTTGGAATTTGTACCTTAGATATTCATATAAATAATTTTTTTAAAAAACAAAATATTTTCATATCGAAATTTATTTAAACTTGATAAATTATTGAAATTCAATGTTCAATTTCTTTTTTCGTTTATTTAATAATAAAAAAACGAAAACAACTTATCGAGCAAATCGCAAATTTGATGCAACAATATTGACAAAATAAATTTTAAAAAATACGTAAAAAAAATAAAATTATATTTTCTGGGTTATTTACAAATAATTTTTTCCTGCAATACGACAGACAGTTCATTCAATTACACTAATTAAATCACTTTTTTCTTCAAAAAAACGAAAACGAGGTAGTTTATATTTTGATTATACTTATTTCCTCAAGTATAAGTTCTTTTTCGGTATATTGCAATGGTTTAATATTCAGTTTGGTCATATACATTGTGACTTATTGTGGTTGATTTAAACAACTCTGGTGTTTTATGTTCATATATATATATAAGAAAAAATCGGTTAGTTGAAGGCAGTAGTAGTGTGGTGTGTGCTACTTATACGAACGATATAAGTAGTATAAGAAGGGACGTGAAAGAAGAACTCTCACGGTCAGAAGAGGAAAATGGAAAGCAAATGGAGCAAAAGCAAGAAGTAAATGGAGTACAAACAGGAAGGGAAGGAAGCAACAGCAGGAATGGAAGAAGGATGGAGTGTTGGAAGTCACGACTCAAAGATGGTGGTGTGCAAATAGAGTGTTCAATGTAATGTTTTCGTTTTTAATTGACTCAGAGTGTAAATTTGCATAATACAATCTTCTTTGCCTGCCTCAGTCTTCTCAGTAGCAGTATCTTGATCATAAGTGCAAGCTTGTTCGGTGTCATTAACTTTCACGTAGTCAATTTCAGTTGCAATACGTATAGTCGACTGTTAGTGAATTAGTCATGTTCTCATTAGATAAGATTGATTGATTCATGATTACAAAAAGTAACTCGACAATCTCCACAAACTCATTATACAAATTACCTGGCTTACTAGTGACTAGCTCAGTGAGGAATCTTCTCCGAGTTCTAGTGAGAAGTCGTGACCAGTGTAGTTCAACCTTGTTCGGGTGTGAAGCAGTGCTCACGGAAGACAATGTTTTGAGGTTGCGCAAGACCGTTAATTGATAGAAATAAGAAATCAACATCGTTAGATTCCTGCTCAGAGGTTAAACGTTCGCGCGCTAGACCGAACGTCTTAAGTTCGAACTGTGAGAGTACTAGGAGTTATGGATGCGTACAGTTGATGAGTCCCATACCAAGACGAAACCTGTGTCTTTCAGTGCTTTCGGGTTTTTAATGGTGGTCAAACAATGATTGATTCATGATTTTAGAAAAAATGTGATAAACGCATAGAAATTTATACATTTTTATCATGATTAAAATTTTTGACGGGTTGACAATTTTAAGTTTCATATATTATAGTAAAAACCTTCGTAAGGCAATGTAGTCCGTATACATTTCATACTGTGTGAGTTGTTTTCACACTAATAAACCTATCTCTTATTTTTGAGTACTTTTATTAACAAATTAAAAAATATACATAATTTATTTGGAACTTACTGAACATGTATGTAGAAAGAGATTTGTGTTCTTATGTTGAGATAACTAATTTCTTTCGGCTTATAGGGGTTAATTGTGATTCAACCCTTTAGAATCAAGTAGGTGTGACGTGTTGATTTCATTTTGTTATCCTGTGGTAGAGAAAAAAATTTAGTGTAAATTAAAGAGATTTGCATAAAATCAACTAGTTACAGAGTTAGTTAATGATGAGTTCCTCGCTAATATATATTGACTGCCTGAATTGAAATGATTTTCGAAATTTTAATAAAAACAACTGTTTTTCACCATAGAGTTATGGAGATTTTTGTATTTTTCTACTAAAATCATGAATCAATCAGCATTAGAAACCTGGAAGCATTCAAAGTCAGTTTCATCCTGGTATGGGACTCATCGGTGACAGTGAGCATCCACAACTCATGCCACCCACAGGATTCGAACGCAGGACCCTCAGTCTTGAGCGCGAACTCTCAACCTCTGAACCAGCAAGTAGGCTAACATCCAGCGGTATTAATATCTAACTCTGACTAATCTAGGGATTTTTCTCAACCTCACTTATTTGTCTTCGGTGATTTCAGCAATAAACAACAATCTCCATAACTCTGTAATGAAAAATCATATAATATGCACATTAGTGACTAGTATCGTGAGGAAATTCTCGGAGTTCTAGTGTAAAGACATGAACAGTGGACTTCAACTGTGTCGAGTGTAGGCAGTAACTACCGGAGGTAGTGGGTGAGGTTGCGCAAATTCCCTAGACTGATTAGAGTTAAACATCGTTGGATGCCTGCTTGATAGCTCAGAAGTTCGCGTTCAAGATCAGTGTTCCCAGATTCGACTCCTGAAAGTGGACGGTGTCGTGGATACTCACTGTCACAGATGAGTCCCATACCAGGATGAAACGGCAATCTTTCAGTGCTTCCAGGTTTCTAATAGAGGTGGTGCTAACAATGATTCATTCATCAATTCAAGCCAAAACTACCACCTCCATAATACTCTGAATACAAAAAAGGAAAGAATGACATCACATTGTTAATGGCCACTTATAAAAACGAATTTTGACTAAGGAAATTTCTCCAGATTGAAAACAGTGAGTAAATAAATATATTGTTTGAACAATCATAAAACAATCAGGTTTATTCTTCTAATAAAATAACAACTTATCTCGACGCACAGGCGCACACACACACACACATACACTCATACACTAACTAGGAAATCTCTTTCCCCTATTCAAAATGAATTGGGGAGAAGGAGACGAAACTCCAAAGAGTGCTGCTTATCTTCAAATTCATTGTAATAAGTATTCACATTTTTTGAGGTCAAGTGCCTAACTTAATGACCGTAAAAAGCATACAGACACATCTACATACATTGAAATGAATACACAGAAGTGAATTGATGCTTTCAAGTTGTTTTATTAAGCTGTTTTATGATGATGGCAAAATCTTAATTGGCTTTATTCAATCAGTGTGTGTATGTGTCAAGAGTGGTAGGTAGTTCACCTGATGAGATATTGAATGAAGAGCGGGAAAAATAAAAATGTTTTAAGCACCACTCACTTCAAATGGTGTTTTTTCTTTTTAATTTGCTGGGAATCGCTTTGTTTAAAACTAACGGCCAAAAATAACCGTTTGGTATTCTTTTATCATGAGTGGAAACAAAATTAAATGTCAAAGGGAAAATCCGAAACGACATTTGAAATGTTGTTCATTTGATCAGTGTCTTTTGTGGAACTAGCGAATGAATGAATGAGACAGTGTTTAGATTCACAGTTTTTCTGCAAGTTACTCGAGATATATCAATCGACCTAACTGGTATTCTCATGATAGCGTTGAGGGGAACTGTTGTTTAGTATTAATGAAATAATGAAACAATCATTGTTAGACCACCATTCGACGAAATCTGGAAGTACTGGATGGACTTTTCGTCCTGGTATGGGACCGTGAAATGATTAAAGTTAGCAACTCAGCATTCTAGAAGTTAGGCGTTCACGATCCAGACTAGAGATCCTGTGCTGGATTCTCATGGGCAGGTTTCGTGGATATTCACTGCTGATGAGTTCTATACTAAGACGAAACGGCTATCTACTGCCGCTAGGTTCTTGGCAATAGTCTAACAGTGACCGGTTCATGATTCCAATTAATCGTGTAAGCTGACATGAATTAAGATTTAGAACTGAATTAGCGTAGCTACATTTTTTGATAATATTTAGTTAGAATTCATTGAATCAAATCATATAATTTCAATTCATTCCCAATAAACTGTGATTATCATCTAAAGTAATTACACATTGAAATCATGGATCGACCATTGTTAGACAACCTCCATTAGAAATCTGGAAGCACTGAAAGACTGCCGTTTCGTCCTGGTATGGTACTCGTCGGCACTGAGCATCCACAACTCCTGTTACTCATAGGATTCGAACCCAGGACCTTCGGTATTGTGCGCGAACGCTTAACAAATGGTGTTATTGTCTAACCCTAACCAATTTAAGGATTTTGTGCAACCTCACCGATTGTAGTTACTGCCTACACAATTTCATTTACTTAACTGTTACTAGTAGACTAGTCTTGACTAAACTCTGGCTAAGAATTAAAAAAAATCTAGTTATTCCATAGGATGTGGTTGTCAATATATCTTTAACTGATAATAAGTTGATGATGATTAAAACAATGTATCTTTGGCGGTCTTTTCATTCAAAAAAAAATAAAAGAATCACTTACAAGATGATCATGTGAACAAACTTTTTGAACAATGAAGTCATTCAGTCACAACGTAGAACTTCGTACATACGTACGTACATCAGTTGATGTTGCCATACCACATTAGCACAGAAACGCAATTGTCAGTTCAAATCCCATAGTGATAAAGATACTAGGGGTATTGATGGTAATGAAGAAGACTAGGGTTCGAAGATATTATTCAAGAAATATAATTCAGTGAGATAAGGTTAGAAAGACAAAGGTAGAGATGCTGACGAATCCAGAAGATTAGGATTTGAGAGCACAAACAGTGGATGCACCTGCGCCATCGCAAACGATTCTGAGCCATGTCATTCAGGGTCTCTAACCATCGGTGACTATCATCTCGTGGACCCCAACCAGGTAGCCTACATCTACCAACATGACTCAAGTCCACTTGTCAGTGACTTCATGCATTTCTGTCATGTTTTCGTCTGGCCGCCCCTAACTTTCTTCCAACCTACTCCTACACCACAAAACATAGCTCGTCGAGCTAGTCGGTGGTTAGGCATTCGTAACACATGTCCCAACCACCTCAACACTTCATCTATTGATCTGCCATCCTTACCTAGTACTCGCTTCCTAATAGCAGCATTGCTTACTCGGTTATCCTACGATACACACGAGCAATGCTTCTAAGATATCTTTGATCAACAATGAAAATCACACCGAATATTCATTAATTCATTAACTAAAATACAAAATTAACAAATTTAATTGACTATAAACCATAGAACGCATTCAGTGTTTCATTGAATGAGTAACAACTAACTCTATCAGGTGGTTGACAAATGAACATGTTGACACATTATCATAATACACACTGATTAAAACACTGTTTAAGAGACAAACAACGTAGAATTGGTCTAACCAGTAAACTACTGATTCTCATCGCATAATCATACACACACACTGATACACACAGACACACATACAGAAAATACGAAACTGGCAGATGACAACAAATGAAACACTAAAACCGATCATCAGGGCTAATCATGATTGGAATACAAAACCGTGAAAAATCAATAAGTTGGTGGTAGTAGTAGCAGTAGTAGTAGTAGTTGAAATGCAAGTATTGGCATGTTTCTTACTCATTGCTTCATAAAATTTACTCAAATTTCACGTGTTTGCCTGTCTATTTGCTTATAAACACACACACTATTTATTGATGACCTAGTTGTCAAATTCAGTTTTATTCACACTTTTACCCTCTCTCACTCATAAAAAAATCACCTAAATACAGACATATTGTCATTTGCATGATCAATAATAATGACAAGACTTCTGTCTATGTTGTGTACACATTTATATCTACATTTTCTAATCAATATATGTTATTTGGATGAGTGTATAATTTTCTCAATTGTTTTCATCACAGACACATCGATTTTTGTTTCTTATTTTTTTTTGACAATCTCATGTTTCGATTCTTTTGTTTTACTTAACTAAATAGTCGATTGTGAATGGATCTATTTAAACATTTAAAATTAGAAATTACCGCTTCTATTATTTTTATTTATTTATTTTTAATTAAGCCAGAAAAACAAAACAAAACCGATAATCAAACGACAATAAGATGTGGATGCAAAAACAATATAAAATGAAAATAGGATGAAAGGAAACTGAATTAGTTGGTTATTATTGAGTTGATAACGTTACGTGTACATTGAAATGGTGATTAAATCATTTGCATTATGGGGTTGTGAAGATTGTTAAGTTACACATTTTTTGAAACCATGAATCGATCAATGTTAGACCACCATTATAGAAACCTGGAAACACTGAAAGACGGCCGTTTCGTCGTGGTATGGGACTACTCCTCAGTGGCAGTACGCATCCACGACTCCTGCACTCCGCAGGATTCAAACCCAGGACCTTCGGTATAGCGCGCGGATGCCCTGTGGGGTGCAGGAGTCGTAAATGTGCACTGCTGAGGAGTCCCATACCAGGACGAAACGGCCGTCCATAGCTTCCAGGTTTCTAATGGTGGTCTAACATTGATCGATTCATGGTTTCAAAAAATGACTAAATCATTATTAGAACACAGTTAGACACCTGGAAGCAGTGCACAGCTGTTTCATTCTACTACGGGACTAAAGCTAAGCCTTGGAATGCAAGACTAAAAGTTCTTGGGTTCGAACCCTGCGAGTAGCAGGAGTCGTGGATGGGCGCTGCCATTGATGAGTAGTTCCATAGCAGGACGAAATGGTCGTCTTTCAATGCTTCAAGGTTTCTAATGTTAGTCTAACAATGACTGATTCATGTTTTCAATGGTAAACAACAATCTCATACAATATGCTCGCTAGTGACTAGCCTCGC